GTTGGCGCTCCTCCGGGGCACCTCTCACGACTAGCCGCTCATTTGCGAGGTCAATTGCAGTTACGGTTGAGAATAGATCGGTATGAAACCTAACATATGTTTTGGGACCACTTCATCAAGATTCTGTTAACGAAGAATTCCAATCTAACGCAGTTTTTATAACAAGTTCGAGAAAAAAAAACAAAAGTATTAAGTACAGTTCACAACAAAATCTGCTCTTATCGGAAATTTCTGTCGAGATTTCTTCCAATTTTTGTAAGACAAATATACCTATTGTCGGATGCTTCGCCTCTCCATCATTACGATGAATACAATCTATCACGTTCAATTTTCTATGATTTTTCCTATTAGAAAGGAAATGGTAGAAGACCCTACATTCCGACTTTAGTTCATCTCACGCTTTTCTTCGAAAATGCATCTGAGCTCTATAAAGAGGTTTTCGAATGAGAAGTTGCACTTAAACATGGAAGCGGCTAGCCGTGAATGGTGCTCCAGAGGAGCTTTGACGAACGACTAGTCGATGATTCTAAAAGTTCATTAACGATATTCTTAGTGAAAGCTCGTAAGAAGCCTACCGCGCTTTTCGAGAGAATTCTGGTAAGATTCTGTTAATGAGAAATTCTCATATAACGTCTATTTCCCAGAATAGTCGTGAAATTACAACTATGCACAGTGATTTACAACAAATTCTCTTTTGTTAGAAATATTCATAGAATACAATTCTATGATAAATTGAAGAAGATTTTGGAAGAAGTCACAAGTGTAACCATTCAATAGTAAATGAAAGAGTATTATCAATAGGGAAATTACACTTAAGTATGGCAGCGGCTAGCCGTGAGTGGCGCCGACAAACGACTAACCGCTGATTGAAAAGCTTCAAGGAAAGTACGTTCCTGGCAGATCCAAAATCCGTAGAGCAGTTATCAACCAATCGAGTTTAACCGGTTGAAATAGTGTACTCAATCAGCAAAAAACGAAAGGCAATTTTCTTTCAAATTAATTGTACGAAAGAATTTTTCTCGACATGTACAACATTTTTAACGTACGTTGGGCGAAAAACGTTGTTCAACGAATTTTCACTGTAATAGCATCCATGTAGGAAAAAGTAGATGTCTTGTGGCTGAATCTCAAAAGATAATAATTGCGAAAATTGGATTGTGAATAACTAGTATGCAGAAGTAACATGGTTTTTCGTTATGCTTATGGTAAGAAGGAACATTAGACAACAAATAAAAAGGTTAACATTTCTTCTGATTTCCCTGTGCTAGAACATAAATATTGAACCTCTTGAAATACACCAGAAAACGTTTAGTTTTATGATGTTGTATGATCCTCTCTACTTTTTTATTCTCTGTGGGTCTAAAATCCACCACAACCATTCATTATTAGATCTAAATCTAAATCATGTAAAAGTTTTATTCTAAACGCGCGCTGGAAAGTATTACACTCTATGAAGTTAGGTGATACGCATAGGACTTAATTCTATAGGCTCAATCTTGTGTCATTAAGCGAACAAAGCATATTGGAAGTCATATTTAGCTGAATCTACGAAAACGATTGACGCTCTAAAATTATTGAAGGTGTTTGAATTCTAATGAGGAATAATCTGAGTGCTAATACGTTCTAATTTATTTCGTTTCTATCTGTCACTTGTGAAGAAGAACCGATCTCTAGACGTTGTGGATTACTCAATCGTATATGTGTTTGTCAAGGATAATCAGAATAAATATAATGAATTCAGTCGAGGGTCAAGTGAGTCGTACCGACAAACGTTACTTGTTTCTTGGGATGAGGAATCGATTGGCATTATTAGTTTTTGAAAACTTGTTCAAATAATTTTTTTTTCACTGAAAAAAGGTCTTAAGAAAATAGCGGGTTTTTAGAAAGTTTGACCGAAGGTTTTCGGGATGGAGGATTTGATTGGTATGATTAGCTTTCGAGAACTTTCGAAATAGTTTTCTCACTCAGCGCTTTAACATATGCAACAGAATTTCAAACAATAGCAGTGACACATTCAGCCGCTGAGTCACTGCAAGTTACTTTCTGTGGATTTACAAAGAGTTGCTTGTTTTCTTAAAATATCCTTCTCCTCACGGAAAAATCGAAATAGATTGGTATGTCCCGCATGCAAATAACTTAGTCACTCAATATGACACAGATACACAAATTAGCGTGCTATTCGATGTTGTATTTAATCTTTTTTTTTTTTTACAAAAGATGACATTCTGAGTGTAGTAGAGGATAAAAGAAAAGTTTTTTAAATTTTGTAATACCCATTGGGTAAATCTACTACCCCTCTACTTAGATTAAAATCTGTTCATCTTTGAAGTAGTAGTATACAACAAAAAAAAAGAAGAAAACGAGAAAAATGGAATACATTTATGAGGTAAGACTATCACTCTTTGCTTGATTATTTTAGTTCGGAGTAAAAACATTATTGTACCTTTAGTCATATGCAGAGCTGGGCATCTCCATGGCTACGAGTACCAGGTTCGCTACTGTCAATTCTTTTTCGTATTGATAGTAGCGACACCTGGTACTCGTTGCCATGGAGATGCCCAGCTCTGGTCATGTGCGACACAAAAATTCACTTGAAATCAACATTACTGTGTGTAAAACTATAACCTGTCGAGATCAACTTCAAACGGGAACTTTTATTGTCTTGTTTGTAAAAAAATAATTGAAAGTCCAGTGACATTTCATAAGCGTCGACACAATGCTCTCTATCCAGAAGCATCCACACAGTAGCTATAGTTTTTGAATTTTCAATCGATAATCCTGCATTGTAAACCAGATAATTTTGTATGAGAAGCCCAAGTGTGAGTGAGGTAGATTGTAAATGGAAAAGAATCGTTAATTGAGAAATGAGACTTAAATGTGGAAGCGGATAGCCGTGAGTGCCGCCCCGGAAAGGCGCCGACGAACGACTAGTCGCTCTTCTGCATTAAATTATACTCGCATCATACAGGAAATCGAGCAGTCGAGAGTAATGGACCGTAGGGACGTCGACGACCGGCTGCGAGCTGTTATTTACGGTTCACTTTACTAAAGCTCAACAGAAAAATGAAAGATTCAGACTTTTTGCAAAATGGTCGTCGCCGGCAATAGTATACAATTTTTTTTGTATATGCGCGTGTGATAAGCGATAGTTCTCAAAATAGAATTTAGTAACCAGCGATAGATAATGATTAGATTGGATTCAGTCGAGAGTCAAACGAATTGCAGCGACGAGTGTTACTTGTATTTGTTCTTTGCCGAGTCGAAGGATCCGAAAAAACGATCAAAACTTTGAGTTCCCAATTTAAAACTCAAGAAAAACACGTTTTACGGTTATTGTGATTAAAATAGATTATAATTCAATTTTTTGCTGTTTTTTGTTTACATGGATATCGTTTGAAAGGTCACCCAGCTCGAACATCTCATATTTTCCATAGACAAAATGAAATAGTCTGATATTTTGGATTTGGCTATGATTTGACTCGACCTTTCATTTGAGATTAAATGAGTAACAGTTCTCGATCGAAGAACTGAACTGGCCAGTAGACCCAAATGTCGTGAAAAAAACTGAGAACTGCCACACGTCTATTTGAGATATTAAAATCGAAATTTAGAAAAGTTTCTCAGTCGATTATGGATGGTTCTATGGCGCACTCTCTCTTGACGATTTCTGTTTACCCTCCACTATTGCTTGTATCGACGATGTATATTTTGTTTTGCTTTCGGTGTGCTTATTCCATTGTCATATGTGAATTGTGTTTTAGATTGATGAATTTTGCGATCTCCCGTCGTATTCCTGGTCCTCGTTACTTTCACTCCTCCTCCTCCTCTTTACAGACACGTATGTGTTACCAAGATATTCTGTTACGTTTTATTCCATTGATTTGATCAAAATTGTGAATATAATTTGTTGAATTGTTCCCCTCTATCTATAAAGTACTTCTCAAAAATCGTGTGAAATATGTGATTCGCATTTTAACTACATAGGAGCTGAACTAATAAACTTTTTCAGTTGAGATAATCCTATATAAAGTTAGAACAGATCCGCCCAGATTGGAGGTTAACGCCCATTTCACTCCAACTAAAGGCAGTCTATATGGATGCGAGAAAACGGAATGTTAAGTACGATGATTGTTCAACACCAAGAAAAATCAGCGTAAAATATTAAGTCTATTGAATGTAGTGAATCATCAATAGCAATGCAATTTATTATAAAATTGTAGCACAAAAAATAGTTAATATTTTTAACCCGATCCAATTATTATCGATCAATGATTCATATAAAATGGACTGATCAACAAGTGAAAAGATGTATTTGTAACGCTTCTGTTTGAGTGCATTTTATGGATAATCTTTGACCCGTTCTTACTATCCTTTCTCATCTTATGTATTGTCCTTATCTTTCTGTCATTACTTGTACATCATGTTGCACTTTGTCCTTTCCTTCCTTTCTTCTGTTTGATGGATGAGTATATAAGTGTATGCTTTGCATGGAAACGATGCGATTCTCGATAGGAAGAAATATAATAAAGCGTAGTTCCATCAGCGCTAACATCTCTTCTATCAGAAATCGTCACACTTAATACTCAAGAAACACGAGATTATATGACCGCAAACTGTCACAAAGGCAAAATTGCTCGATTTTCAGCAAGAACTTTCACCAACGTATAAAGCAGAATTCTGATTTTTACGCTTGTCGAATCCAACACTAATCCATTAATTATTGCATGATAATATTTATTTATGCGCTGATTTTTCCTGATGTTAAACATCATCGTGCTTAACATTTCGTGCTGAAAATTCGCTAAATCTTTGAATTCTAAGTAGAATTTTTCTTGATGGGAAGCAGGTTCTTAAACAATCATTAGGACTCTACTTGTTTGCATAGATTTCTATAACTAAACCTATCCACTCTTTATCGATTATCTACTTTTGAATTTTGCATTCTGCAATCTTACATTTATTGGTGTGAACATCACCTTCATTTACAAACAAAGTCTCTTATGGTAGGTTTTTTTTTTGAATAAATCTATCTATATTGAAATGTTTGCTCTTCTGAAAAAAAATCTACAGGCTCGCAGAAGAGACGTCGGACAACCGTCGATAAATAGCGTCAATGACGATGATGAAGAATCTAAAAAGAAATCAAGTGAAATAACGAAAATGACCATTTCAAAGAGCAAGAATAAGCTAGAGAAGGAAGAAGATAATTTAGACAACTTCAAACAAGGAATGGAAATTGTAAGTAAAAATATCAATCCAATTTTTACTTTGTTATGCAAACAGTATCTTATTTCATTTTCTTCTACTGATCATCTATGGAACATTTTTTTAAAATTATGTATTCAAAGTAAAAGTGAATCGAAAAATGATTTTTATTTTCTGAATTTAGGATGATCACAAACTGAATCTTGTTGATCTTTATCAACGCTATAATACTGATCCAAAAAGAGTGAGTGTCACAAATCATTAATTCAATGCGAAATTTTTATCATCCCACAGGGTTTATCATATTCCGAAGCTCAAAAAGTGTTTAATCGTGATGGTCCCAATGCGTTATCATCGTCGAAGATAAAACCAGAATGGATAAAATTTTGTAGACATATGTTTGGCTACTTTGAGTTTCTACTTTGGATTGGTGCTATTTTGTGCTTTATTACACACGGCTTTGAAGTTGTCACATATCATGAAGATGCATCAAGTGACAATGTACATATAAACAGTCATTTCTTTTCATATGTACATTTTATAAAAATTTTAGTTATGGCTTGGCATAGCGTTGATCGTTATAGTAGTTGTTACTGGTTCTTTTTCATATTTTCAAGATGCAAAATGTTCACGAATCGTGGATTCGTTCAAAAGCATGTAAGATAATTTCTTTGAAATAATCCGTTTCATTGGTGTTCTGCTGCATTATAGGGTTCCTCCAGTGAGTATATAGTTTACACGTCTTTACATGGTAATCTTGTTTTCTCGATGTAGCAAGCACTTATTATTCGTGATGGTGAACTGACGAATATACGAACTGAAGATTTAGTAGTGGGTGATATTGTCACTATCAAATTTGGTGATCGAGTGCCCGGTTAGTTCCTTTTAATAAAATACGCTTTCATCTGACTTTCTGCAAGGATAGCCGACATTCGCATTCTCGAATCGCATGGCTTCAAAGTCGACAATTCTTTCTTGACTGGAGAATCAAAACCACAATCGCGTTCTCCTGAATTTACCAATGACGATGTATTGGAAACGAAAAATCTGGCTTTTTTCAGCACTTTTGCAACGGACGGTTAGTTCAATATTTCTTATACAATATTTTCTTGATATTTATGAATGAGTCAGGCATCGCCAAAGGTCTTGTCATTCGTACGGGTGATTATTCCGTAATGGGTCGTATTATGAACCATGCTTCGAGTCTATCCAAAAGTGATACGCCAATTACCAAAGAGATCGTTCATTTTATCCATATCATCACTGGTATATCCATCTTTATGGGCATTTCCTTCTTTATCATCGCACTCATTCTCGGCTATCCATTGATCGAAGCAATCATTTTTCTCGTTAGTATTGTCATTGCCATTGTGCCAAAAGGTTTCCCTGCTACTGTGACGGTAAATAGCGACTATTGAAAAGGAATTAGAAATAAAATATTTTTCTGACTATTTCTTTAGATATGTTTAACATTAACAGCAAAACGATTGGCGAAAAAGAATTGTTTGGTGAAAAATTTGGAAGCTGTAGAAACTCTCGGTTCGACATCAATCATCTGTGCGGATAAAATCGGTACATTGACACAAAATCTAATGACAGTTGCTCATATGTGGTTTGATAATCAGATCGTCGAAGCGGATACTAGTGAATATCAACAAAGTGAGTTATTTCTCGTTAAAGAAGAACTAGGAAAAAATGATATTTGTGAAATTAAGATGCCACCTATAACGGGACTATACCTGGTTGGTTGGCTCTGACGCGTTGTGCTATATTATGTAATCGAGCTGATTTCAAACAAGATCCAGAAAATTTAGCACAGCCAGTGTTACAACGTCAATGTTATGGTGATGAGTCCGAAGCGGCTTTACTTAAATGTGTTGAACTATCTGTGAGTAGATTTTCTTTAATCGACTATTCTCTCATCATTTCTAATTTGTTTAGATTGGCAATGTGATCAATTTTCGTGAGATCAATCGAAAAGTGTGTGAAATTCCATTTAATTCAACAAATAAATATCAAGTATCAATTCATGAAGTGTATACTGACAATAACAGTGAAGTCGATTCTCGCCCTTATTTACTGGTAATGAAAGGAGCTCCTGAACACATTCTTGAAAGATGTTCAAGTATATATATCGATGGCACAGATGTTGAAATTAACGACTGTAAGTTTGTTTTACTTGGTGATAAATATTAGCCATTGTATTTAATATATCTACAGACTGGCGGAATGCATTCAACCAAGCTTATCTGAAATTGGGCAGTTTGGGAGAACGAGTATTAGGTTTTTGTGATTTGCGTCTGTCAAGTGATGATCATCCGAAAGGCTATCAATTCAACGAGGAGCAAGTTAACTTTCCACTTGACAATCTTCGTTTCCTCGGTCTCATGTCGATGATCGATCCACTAAGAGTAGCTGTTCCTGAAGCGTCAGTATTCTCGGCATTTTTATTTGCATTGCTTTCATTCTCGCTTTTGTTTTATACGCTGTAAAAAAATATCGCGCCCTACTAAACCATGAAGGATTGACTATCGGATACAGATACTAAATCTTCATATGGTTTCTTTTTTCTTTAAATCTTTCCTATCGCACAACTGCAATGATGAGACTAAACTCTGCGTATGTGTGTACCTATTTATTTAACTACATACGTAACTACCTATCTGTCTATTAGATGTTTACAAATTGAATAGTCGAAATGAGTTTTCGACTTATACATGTATGTAACTTTAGCTGAACTTTCACCTATCTCAGGATTTGTGACTGACACTGTAAATATCTGCCTAACTCACTAACTGGTAGATTATCTATCTTATTATCTATTTCTACTGACCTATCGATATGATTACCCAACAAACTATCTATCCATCGATATCCGAAAGTTTTCAGGTTTGAGTGAAACCTCCGAAAACAGATTCAGAATTGATTCAATACGACTGAAATCGAACTGAATCGTTCAAATTCCGTTCGTTTCGGTCTGCTTTTGAATTCTGTTTTTTCACCAATTATTTGGAAATGTTTCACAACTCTTGTGATAAAGTTTCGGCAGGTGAAATTTTGATGAGAGACAACACTGAAAATTATTAGAGTGATATAAAATATTCGTATAATCTCAAAATATGGCGTTGCACAATATCCTACAGGATTTTACGGAATCATATGTAGATTTTGCGTAACTTGCTAAACCATACATGATTTTACACAACATCAATCCTTTTTTTCTTGAGAGTAGAATAGCTAAATGTCGTTCGGCTGGAATCAAAGTAATCATGGTGACCGGTGATCATCCAATCACGGCTAAGCCCATTTCACGTGCTGCAGGCATCATTTCGCAAGACACAGAAACAGTCGAAGATATCGCTGAACGCGCGGGCGTTTCTCTACAAGAAGTCAATCCACGTGACGCTAAGGCATGTGTTATTCATGGTAATGATCTCAAGGCTATGTCACCAGCTGAAATTGACGCACTTTTGGAAAATCATCCAGAGATTGTCTTTGCACGAACATCTCCTCAGCAAAAAATTACTGTTGTTGAAGGTGAGCATGATATTATCAATAGAAAGATATTACAATCAGTTTTCTGCTTAGGATGTAAACGACAAGGTGCTATTGTGGCTATGATAGGCGATGGTGTGAACGATTTACCAGCTATGAAAAAAGCTGATATCGGAATTGCTATGGGTTCGTTCGTGTGTTTCTTTTTTTTCATTATCTCGAATAGATTGATCGATACATGCAGGTATTACCGGTTCGGATATGAATAGAGAAGTAGCAGATATGGTTCTATTGGATGACAATTTCGCTTCAATTGTAACGGGTGTCGAACAAGGTCGCTTGATTTTTGACAATTTAAAAAAATCAATTGCCTACATGTTGACATCGAACATTCCCAAAATGACTCCATTTCTCATGTATTTTTTAATGGGTATACCATTAGCATTGGGAACTAGTACTATTTTGTTTATCGATCTGTTAACTATAATATCGGCCATCTCATTAGTTTATGAAGAAGCAGAAACAGATATTATGAAGAAACCACCAAGAAATCCAAAACATGATCGACTTGTAAATAAACGGTAAAGAGCATATCACATTCAATCGAAGAGTAAACATATTGATTATCTTTCTAGTCTCATATTGATGACCCATGGACCAATTGGATTCATTCAAGCTGCTGCTGGATTATTTACGTATTTTTCGATCATGGCCGAGAATGGCTTTTTACCATCGCGTCTTTTTGGTTTGAGAAAGTCATGGGAATCAAAATATGTCAATGATCTTCAAGATTCCTATAATCGAGAATGGGTTCGTATTTCTTCTTTTATTCAACACAAATAAAACTTGTTTTTTAAGACCTATGAACAACGCAAACAACTTGAATTTACATGCCAAAGTGCTTTCTTTATCGCTATCGTCATTTGTCAATGGGCTGTATTGATCATATGCAAAACTCGACGAAATTCTATTCTAGAACAAGGCATGAAGTAAGTTTACTGTAAAAAACCCAATCAACCCGATACGAAACATGTATGTTTATAATTGAATAGGAATCGCATATTAAATGGTGTGCTTATATTTGAAATTATCCTAGTTGCAATTGTCTCCTATATGCCTTGCTTAGGTACAGCTCTCAATATTTATCCAGTGAAGTAAGAATTGTCATAATTTTTAACATATTTTTCAAATTCAATTTCAAAATAGATTTCTCTGGTGGCTTCCGGCATTGTTCTCTGCTTTTTTGATTTTGATCTTTGATGAGGTGCGTAAACATCTCATTCGGCAACATCCTGGTGGATGGATGGAAAGACAAACTTACTTTTAGATTTTTCAAAATAACTTAATGCTTAGTGAGATTTAGATTCTCCCATTTATTTACAATTATTATTTTAATCTTTTCATTTGCAAAACACTCTTATTAATCAAGCCTTACTTAATTGATAATCTTTTATTCAACTAATACATTTTATAATAAACAATAATTGCTGCCATTACACCGAGTGTTTCATAAGACTTCAGGCTCGCAAAAATTAGCTTACATGCAGACAGACTATAAACCTTAGTTGAATGTATCTATACAAGTTTTGAGTCTGGTCTTACCCTTTCAAACGTGAGACTAATGGATGACATTTTTTCTTCTCATAATAAAAATCTAAATATAAGAATGTTATGATAAATCTTTTGAAATCAACCAATATAATTGTTTTTAAGAATTTTTGATCACATCTCGAACATATTTTATATAAAAGAATAGGATAATAGAAACCGATTTTAGCATTTATCTTAATGCTTTCTTTGACATTTATTATGAATAACTAAACTACATGTTTGATCAAGCTATGTGCTGTAAAATATATAAACACGTCATGTACAAATCGAAAAACAATAAAGCAACGATTGTATTATGAACTAGTGGTCAAGTATTTATCGGATGTTCCAAAATATTTACACACTTCTTATTTTGCATATATCTCAGGATGCATAAATTATAAAATATTCACCTGTTTTTAAAGGATGCGTTGTGAAAAGTTCTACAAAAACAAATGCCAGAACAATTTCCTATTAATATGTTCCGATGATTTATCTTATATTCAAAGTTAAACACCTACATATTAGATAATAATAATAAGAAGAAGAACGAAACTCACAGTTATAATCGAACAAAAAGTAAAAGTAATCAATTTATTAAAAAGATAAATAATAAGAACGAAAAGATCAATAAAAATAATCACTTTCAACGTTAATTGAAAGGTAGATATCGTTCTTTAATAGGATTTGTCTTTTTTCATTCAACTCAAAAAACAGATATTCGAAAGCAAATAAATTTTTTTTGTAAATATTTAATTGACTAAGAAATGAAAAGAGCACATACACTGTTCACAATATATGAAATTCTGCTAAATTTGTTTCTGTTTTCATTCATAGAATGAAACCATTATACTTCCTAATCAAAATAGTTTAGATTTCTACCATTAATGCCAACATCAATTTATCCGCTCTATTGCTTTTCTTCAATATATTTGTGATGCGAACAAAAGATTTAAAGAATATATGCAATCAAACACAATGCATTAATATTAATGTTGATTCCTAATTGTTATTCGCTTTTCTGAAAGAAAGGCTTATACGGAGCTTAAAAAATGCTTAAAGTTTGTCCGGCCAAGCCAATCCGGAGAGAACACTCAATAAAAAAAAGCCTGACTAATCATTGAAATCTAACGAACCATTTAAGGTGTCTCTCATAAAAAACAAATTCATTGAAAAAAGTTGTTAACAGAACTTCATCATCATTCGATGTCTCCGTGTCTCTGTGGTAGTTGAATTTGGAATTCAGCGGTAGTGGCGTAGCCAGAAAAAAATTACAGGAGGGGGGGGGCATTGCCCCTCCAAGAGTTTTTACGGCGGATGAAAACTTTTTTATGCGATCAGAGATGTCCAAAAGTTTTTTCGCTTCACTTATTGGATTCTGAATGTTCATCTTTCCACAAGATAGAAAAACTATTATTGTAAGATAATAGGTGAAACAATAAGTAATTATTATTATTATTATGGGAAGATAATGAAAAATAAATCGTTTCTTTTTTATTGTCAACCATCGATCATGAAATATAAGTATATGTCTTTCCATTATAGTCCAGGCAAAAAGCATTATTTCCATTGGATACAATGCATATAGTCAGTAAATGCCCAAAATTGATCAAAAGTAGTTGTTACTTGCCAAATTGTACGAACGAGAAAAAAATGTAAAGTGAATGGCATATCTATTAGTTCTATGAGAAGATTAGCAATAGGCAGAATAATAATGATATGATTGTGTAAACCTTGACGAAGAGTTCGATCGAATAAAAGATGATAAAGAACAAAAAGAGAACATGGAATTGATAATGTATTTGAAATAAGAAAAAGTCAAAAGCGAAACAATTGATTAATTTGAAAGACTATTTCTGAATTACATTATTCCTTCTTAAAAGTATTCCCGAGAAAGAATCAATTTGACAAATAATACAACACTAGGTGAATATTAGATATAAAAGAGAAAAAGAGAGAAAAAAAAATTCTTTTCTAGTAAGTCATTAAAACTTAAAACGTCTGTTGTCTACTTTAACAGGTCTAGAGATTAGAATATTATTATATAGGCGTGGTCAGTCGACATGATATTCCAACACTTATTTGTTTATTTAGCTTTAACTAGTTAAGAGAAAAAGCTGATTTTTTTACCAGTTATAGACCATATATAATGCTGATGATCTATGACTAAAATCCATTAGAAATTTTGTTTGATAAAACATAAGAATGTGATTTTAAACTTTGATGAATTTCATAAGATAATTTGGATATATCGATTTGAAGAGAAGTTAATTGACTTTGATTAGAAAATATTTGACATAACATTTGCTTAAACATACTTTTTATTTTTTTGTATTTAATCATAATAGAAAAAAAAACAAGTCATTAATATCATTATAATATTTCAAATGAAATCTTTTTATTCACTTAATAGAAACAGATGTTTTCTATTTGTAAACGCTACTGAAATATAAAAATAGAAAAGCAATAAAACAAAAGATCATCTTTTCTCCTTTGTATTAATTAAAAAGCAGATAATTCTTTGTAGAAATATGAAAATATATATTATAATTAGTTTTCACAAACTATATAATATGAATGATTTGTTTTTGTTGTTCAAGTCTAACACATTATTGAAATTTTACTTTGAGAATATATTAAAGCATAGAGAAACTCTACAAATGATTACTGATAGAATTTTCTTAACAAATAATAGATATTTACTCCAAAAGAGAAAATTTTCATAGATAATTGAACAAAATCTTTGAATATATTTGTATAATTATAAAAAAAATAAATTCTCTTTTGTAAAACACGAACTAAAAGGAGTGTTGAAGTATAGAGTTAAAAATTTGGATCCATCTTCCTCCTTCCACAGACCATGATAGATGCGCCTTACCAATACACCTTATCATCATAGACTGTGACAAACATAATAGGAATGCCCTATACAGTCATTGTCACAGACATTACCTCAAAAGTGAAATTTATTGTATAATTTTATAAATTACTAAAAGGCAAAACCCATGAGATTATAGACAAACTAATAAGATCTAGGAAAATATTGATTTAATATCGGCTGACCATTAGAAGAAAATATCGAATTTATACAATAGTGATTAAAATTGATTTGCTAAACATCCTTTGCCATTAATGGTCGTGGTTATTTCGTGTTGTTTCACATCTTAATCTCTACGAAAATTTTGCTAACAGTTTTTTTGTTTTTTTTTTTTTTAATTATTGAAATCTATTTATAAACAATACGAAAATAACTATTGTTCAACATATAAATCATCTTAAGTAATCCATTATCTTTTATACATTCAAGTAGATCTACCAATGACAGTTTAGAATACGGAACCTTTGACTTTGCTTTCTTCATAAAGATAATTTATGTCATTAAAATAATTGGTCAATAAATGTCTTTCATGTAGTTATACATTCAATAAACGTCTGATAATTGATTTTTTATTCAACTTACTTCTTTTAAGACAATGATACGCAAATTCAATGGGATAAATATCAGTTTTAGGAACGGGACAGAATCTCATCTTGACTGAGACACTACTGATAATTAGTGACTCATTCTCATCCTTACGTCTCTCCACTATAGAGAAACTTTTACTTCCAAACGATAAACTTGGATCTTGCTTATATAAAGGTCTGTTAAATAAATTGTTAATTACCTTGATCAGAAAGAATTGATGAACTTTCGCATTCATAACTAAATGTTTCGTAAATATCTTCATCAAATGTTAATGTAAGTTTATTTAATTTCAATTGAATAAGAAAAGATAATGTTTGAATTAATGATTCAGATAATAAACATCGACTTATATAAAGTGACTTAAGATTAGGAAAACGAAGAATTGATTTATCATCATTATGAGAAAAAATATCTTGATAAATTAAATTAAAACAAATTGAATTTATTCCATCAACATGAATATATTTAATAAAAGAACAAAGAGATAATGAATTAAATATTAATGGTAATAATATTTTAGAAAATTTTTTATAAGATAAACCTGGTTTATCGAAAATAATTCCATTTTGATTTATTTCAAATATTGAATATATAAGATTATTAATACGTTTATCGAATGACCAGAATGATATTAAGAGTTCATCCCATGAGAAATATACAAATATATTTAACAATATTTCATTCGGTAATATTTCTAATTTATTTTTCATTTTATCTAAAAATAAATTGATCTTTCTATTTTCTTGAAATAGAAATTATCATTTGTTTATTTTGTTTCTCGTTTCATTTTTTTTTTCAACGAAAAATGAGAACAATCTAAATAGTACTTCTCATATTTATCTAATTTTTTTCTTTAATTTTACTCTGCTCTCTTATATCCATTGTGTCAATTACAGATCTAAACAGCGAATGAAATTTTAGCAAAACTTCTATATTATTTTTCTTTTGTAAGGAAGATCTAACGATAGATGCGTTAGATAACATGACATTTGTCCTTTGTTCATATGTAACAACTAATATCAATAATCGCATTGACGACGAAAAATTTCCCAAGTGTGAGTATCCATCTTCAGTCAGATATATTATAGTTTGTAAAGTTCAATGAACTAATCACGACAGCATAATACATTCTTCTCCAGAAGGCTATCTTTGAGTAGTTTGGTCAATCTCAATTTACAAAAAAATCATTGTGAGCTATTATTTCAGAAACCTCAATTTTTATGTTATTTTCGATCTCAATATTCGAAGCTTGAGCATCGGATGTTCTCCTAATCGAGTGTACATATCAACATAATCAACTTAAATAGAACCGCTAACTATGTCTATACTATGAATATTTCAATACCATTGCTCTTATGGATGTAAGTAGTTCAACTATTTTCTTCAAAATTCATTTAGTTTGGGTGTGGGTGTGGGTCTAGTCTCCAACCACACCCACATCAACACTCATACCCACACCCACACCCACACCCACACCCCTTTTATCTTGTTTAAATAGACACAAAATCCTCTTGTTTCGAATTGATCGAAATTAAGAATAAGAAAATTTCTTATGATGATCTATTCGATTTCATTGATAAATAAAATCTAGTCAAAAGTAGATCATCAATTATAGATAAGAAAAATATCATTCAATTATTGGATTTTATTATAAGGAAAATGTGGCTCTCTGTTAATAATATTTCTTATAGACATTAATTAGCCATTTTTTTAAAATTTATAATCAATGTTATTTTGAAAATTGAACTAGTCCCAAAGCACACGAAATGTTTTGTTGCTTGTTTTTTTGATCATGCAGTCACAAATCTTTGGTAGTGAAACATATTTTCAGACACGGAATCGTACATAAAGACATTGAGTTTTTTTTGTAAATTATACAGCAATTCTGTTATTGATGTTTATACAATCGTGATTTCATCGATAAATGTGATAACTTAACGAGAAACAAAATATTCTTTTATTTTAGTGTTTAACAATTTTGATTTGCAATAAATAAAACTTTGTAACAATACTGTGACTATAAGTGTCAATGGAATTGATTTCAAAGAGACTTGAAGTTGTAGTGTTCATAATCTGTAGTTTTTTCATATTGGATAACTCAAATAAAAATAAGTGAAGATTTTATACTTTTGATGTTTAAATTAATTTTTCATTGATGAAATTCATGAGAATGTATTCAAGGATAAGATCTGATGATGAAAGAAAATTTTTCTAAATGAGTGATTGGTAATAGATACTGAACTTAGTATGTTTTGATCATTGAAAAAAGTGTCATTAGTTCATTCTAGCGAGTTCAAGTGGTGCTAGCATTATTTTACTCCTGATTTCTCTTATGTTGAATCACGAAATGCTTATGTTTATCACTGTTTCATTTTAAAAAATATTGTGAAATGAGATAGGACATTTAAAAATAAACCAAATAAAGAAGCAAGATCCAGTGAAATCATGAATATATCCTTTTTCAAATTATTTTTATTCATGCTGCGAAACTCTCGAATAATACAGAAGAAAAATGTGTATTTTTTCGTTTTTAAATAGTTCAGTATATAGTGTGTATGTGTCTTAATTACAGTAAACTCGGACAGCTTCACTTGAACCACAATTGCTCTCGAATAATGGTTGGCTTTGGCAAGCTTGAAGATTACTGGCAGAGTAAGGACAAGTGAGATCATCAACTAAATAACGACATGGTACCATTGTTTTTGCTCCTGTGCCTTCGTGCTGATATGTACACATAACACTGCCCTGGATCCAGGTCTGACCCGACGTGAACATGTTGTCATTACCTGAAAATCCTAGAGTGCGACATACAGCTGCAGCTTCATTTGAACCGAATCCATCGTCACACACCAAACCTTCAAAAGAGAATTTTTCACCCGTTTCTGGAACAGAAACATGAGCCTTGACCTTGAGTGGATTTAGACTGGTTACAGTAAGACGTTCAGTAATTTGTGGATGCATAAGACTGAAAATTGGAGCACATGCTGATAGTACATCTTGAGCAAATACAGCCTGAAGTGCACTACTCTGATCACTTTTCAGCTTAGTCTGATTGGATTCTTTATGTAATCTGCCATTGTAACGGGCACATTGTTCACGCATAGCTGTATCAAATGTTTCAATTGCATTGAAAGGTTGTTTGATTTCTTCATTATTACCTTGCCCGATAGCTATATTTAAAAGTATTAACAAGAGACATGTCTGTGTTAGCATTGTGAGAAGAGAATAGAATGTGAATATACTGTTGATATTTAACAGTGGTATTTATATGTTTTCATTGTCAAACATTCACGTCAAGTACTGATGATAAACGAGATTTTCAATAACGATTAACTATTAACTCATAATAATAAATGTCTGTCACTTGTTTTCTCTTTATCAATAAAAATCCCAGACTTAAGGAAATAATTTATGAGAGAAATATTTCGAGTAGGTACAATAGCAGCTTTTATTGGTGACCTTTGATGTTGAGATAAAACAAATGATTTCAAAGACTTTGAACTTTTAATTGTGCAATGAGGTTGTCTGAATTCTTACAACTTTTTTGGATTGCAGAGCCGTCCTTTCTTTTTGTAGTGCTCAGGTAGATCATCGTTTTATTTAATCTGTTCTTACTCTGCAGGTTCTATTAGCGATTTGTGCAATCACACTGTGGATATGTATGTGTTTGTATGTCTTCTTCTCACTTACATCCATATTCATCCACACCGGTACCCACATCATATTTAGGCCTACATTCAGCACGCGCACTCACGTTTACATTATCACCTACAAATTCCCACCCATACTCGGAACGAGAGTGTGTCCGTGGAAGTATCGTTCTTAGAAATATTTTCTCTCATGCAATCCTCATTGGTACAAAGTCGAGGCAATGCATGCTCTGGCAATAAACAAGATGATGCCTTAAAGAGATGAATAAGATGTGAAGAAATAGTTTGAACGACGGACAATTCAATCTATTTGAAACAATACTTCACATCTCCGTTATCATTCTGTATCAGAATACATACTCTCTACGCATCTCATTACTATCATGACTGGCTTTTCGTTTGTTTCGTGAATAATCGTCCACTTTGACGTGTGGTTCGCATAGCTAGATCATTTTTTTCGAAATGTACGCTACGCTATGCTTTGTATACTTTGTGTCACTTGACTCTTTTTAATGGAAAGAAGTCCTATCAGTTTTTATGCACCCTCATTACTTTGTTCCCTTGTTTATCATTTTCATTGAAACTCAAGCAGTCTTATTCGAAAGTGACCAAACTATTTTTGAATAGAGTCATCAATTCTCATTCAACATCAATAGATAGAGAGTTTTGCATACAACAACTATTGTAGAATCCTTCAATGACAGTGTTCTCAAGATTTGTAGAAGTAGTTTAGAGCATCATATTTCTCGAAAATTGTTTTCATGCACAGCTCGACAGAGAAATGAGTTTACTCAAAAACAAAAAACCTTTTTCCATGGATCTACGATGTTCTTCAATTGAAATCTTTGATTTTAATTTTTCATCTAGTTCAAACTAGTGTTTCGGACAATCTAAACTTTGGAAAACCGTAATAGAAGTTATATTTTAGAGTAAATTCATTTTTCTATGAAGATGAATCTTTGTAAAAAGTCTTGAATAAAGAAGTTTTCTAGAAACTTTTATTTTATCAAGAATATTTAGAGATATTAGAATTCATTCTACTGAAGTTTTCAATGATACTTATAGTCTATAAAACTTCCTTGCTATTGATTTTTAATTAAAACTAAGCTCATGATTAAACATATCGCAGCTGTTTTTAGGTAAAAAAAAAAGTGTTAACTGGAATACAAACGAAATCTGTCAGTAATGAAAGAAAAATTTAATAACAAGAACTCGGTCTTCAAGGTCTCTCGGATTTTTTCATATTTCTTTCTTACCAAATTAAAAGGTTTTTTTTCCCTCAGCACGATATACTTTATTCAACCATGTATAAATCATTTGAAAAAAAAAATTTTTTCTTCAACTTTTGTATTGACGCTCTCTAAATAGTTCGAATTATAAATATTGATAAACCATATATTTTTTGCAAGTTTTAGTGGAATCTTTGTACTATTTGAATACGATGATATCTAGAGATGGATCAATTCTTAGAATATGATGTCAAAGATTACATTGTTTTCCTTATGAAGGATGTAGTTCCTGTGAATTGTTTTGTATTAACTATGATCAGTTTCTTTTGCTTCATCCGAAATATATAAAAACAAACCAAAGGTTTCGAAATTGGTCGAAAATTCACATTTTCTAGTTGTTTTTTTCCGCCAATTCCAACTGATTTTGTGACCTATGTTTTACATTAGACAAAAACTAACAATAGATTCGGAAAGAGCGTTCAAAACTGAACACAACTAGCATGAAGAATTGCTACGAGTCAGGTAATTCTCAATACTGAAAATATGTTAAATTTCAATTAAAAAAAAACAAAGAATTGATAGGAATTAGTTTACCTCTGCTTACAAAGACATATGTTCAGCATTGAGAATTACCTGACTCGTAGCAATTCTTCATGCTAGTTGTGTTCAGTTTTGAATGTTCTTTCCGAATCTATTCTTAGTTTTTGTCTAATGCAAAACATAGGTCACAAAATCAGTGGGACAATGCAATTTTTGACATCATGTTTTAGGAATTGATGCATTCCTCTATAATAGCCAATGTCAAAGACATACAAATAGGCATCAGACAACAGCTGTTCACAATACAGACAGATGTATTCGTCGAACAGCGTGTTCTATTGATACAAAAATCGAATAGTGAACATATAACTTGAGTAATACAAAGCGTGCCATTTGTCGAGGTTTCGAAGCGATACCATATGGCAGAAGAATACCTATCGCTGCTATTGCTAGAAGCACGAAGTTCTATCCAGCAAAATGATGAATATTTGATTGTTGTACCTCGACAGCATATATCCTCAAATGTTAGTTACCAGTGATCATTGATTACCCTGATTGTATAAAGACATCAAGCAGAGATAACTAAAATATAATAGTCACACCATCGTTCATTCTAGTTAAACTCTGTAAACAATTGAGAGCTATGCAAATGTACTCGTCGATTTGAAATTGTAGCCGAATCAATGCTATTCTGAGAATAAACGAATTTCTTCGTTTATAACCCTTGTTTCTGTTGTTTGTCATCCTATTCTATTTTTTAATGATCGATCAGAACAATTGTGGCTTGTTGACGTTGAAAATATTGAAATGCAATAACATTTTATTCTTGTTATCATGCTTATTACATATATGCACGTAGGTGTATCTGTCGTTAGCCTCAATGAATATTCGAAGAGTTGATCAAATAGATAAGCTCAAAAGGAAAATAAGATAATTCATTGTCTTTTTCGGCGAATTTATTCAAGAGTTTATTCCATATGTATTATACCTCATTCTGGACTCATAGTCAAGATTAATTTTTTTCAACTGTGCATTCATCGAAACCATAGACATTAGAACTATAGAAGAAAAGGACGACTCTGCAATCCAAAAAAGTCGCAAGAATCTAGACAATGTTGCTGCACAATTAAAAATTCGAAGCCTTTGAAACCATTATTTTATCTTGCTTTGCGGTACTTTTTTAAAACTTGGAAAAAGATCGATTCGCTGAAAATTAATGAAGTCCAGGATAAGTCAGGGCTGCCATATCTTAATTTTCAAATGGGGTGTACCAGCTTTCAAATGGAGTACTCTTGGGGTACATTTTTTTTACAATGGGGTACGTCATTGAGGTACATAACTTTTTATTGAAATAGAAGGGTTAATGTGGAAACACTTAAAAGAAACCGCTTTTCTATGAAACAACATAATATTCAATTTTTCTCTTTTAGAAATCAATTTCATTGTTGTTTTTCAAACACAATAAAATACTCTCAGTTTAATCATGACTTTTAGAAACAAATCTAAGTACTATAAAAACAAACGATATAACATTTTTCATTAAGGCATAATAAATATTGAAATCAACTATAGTACTTTGGCGTCAAATTCAAGATGAAAACTTTTTTTTCAGTTTTGGTGTTTTTTACTTTTTCGTATTTTTCTATAAGCAAGAAACATAAAACAGTTACTGGATATTGTGGGTATAGTTATAGAGAGACCGCTACCAGCTACAATTAACATTATTTCAAAGAGTAACAGCTGTTAATAAATATAAATAATTATTCCTATAATGTACACGTTCGGACAAAAGTCTTTTCCTCTTTATCTTTTTATGATATCATAGTTTGATTCAAATTTATTGCCAAATAGAGATATAACATGAGAGTTTTATTTCAATATGGTGTACAGATCACACAGTAATAAAACTCTCATGTCATATCTCTACTCGGTAATAAATTTGAATTCAAGTATGGCAGCATAAACAGATAACGGGGAAAAGACTTTTGTCCGGAGATCTATAAATGTCTCTTATCTCATCTGTTTTTTTTTTATTCCTCTGGTAAGCGTTTATTATAGTTTTACAGTTCTATAATATATTTATACAGCGTAGCTATTATTTGCCAACAGAAATTTATTTAATCATTCTAAGTGGCTTAGTTATGAAAAAAATGAACCTTAGTTCTGACACTGGTGCCCGTAATCCCAGCTATAGTGGTTTTTGATTTGGTACTAATCGCAGACGGAAGGAGGCAAAACAATGATTACACATGCTCGCTAATACAACGATATTTTAATTAACCGTTATCCTTTGTTAGAAGGATCTACAGATAGTAGAATGGATGCAAATAAATAGGAAGTTGTAGACGAAAAACAATACAATGAAGGCAAAGATGATGAGAGTAATACGGATACATAATATAACATTGAATAATCCTTTAATAAACAGAAACCTTTCAAATAATACTTCTGGACTTAGAGACTATATTGATTTTTAACCACTTAAGGCCCCACCCCCATCCAAAAGATAACTTTTTCATAGAACATGCAAAACATATGAAATTTTCAGCATACGCTAGGGCTCTAGTGAGGATGCTATGGTAAAATTTTGAGCTTGATCCCAAGAGGCTTTCTGGAGATATTGATCAAACAAAGGTAGAAAATATCTATTTTGTTTCCCAAATTTCTCTGTCGGATTTCAGTCTATCTATCTCATTGTTTTTCTGATTGATAGAGCATGTCAGGCTGCAGAGAATAACAGAGTCCTTTTTTTTTGAAATCTTACTTTTTTTTTTGAAAAACCAATATCACAAGT